AAGGAGAGCCCAGGACTCCAGGGTCACATCCTTTCATCCTGAACTGTCAGCTGGCTAACTCATTGGAAAGTCTTTCTACTTTTAATTTTCTTGAAAAACCTTTATTTTCTTGCTTTTTTTTCCTTTTAGTTTCTTTGTGAAATGTCATTTAAAGTTGTTTCTTTGACATACAATTGTGCTTTTGTCATTTAAATGAAATAGCTGTATGTACATATTTTTAATTAACTATGTTTAATGACTAGCTCTTTGTTATTGGATCACTATTGAACTAATGTCTATTAAAAATCACTAATGTCTTTAAAGTGAGCGTTATGGGAGCATTGTTTGCATGCTAGTTACGTGTGAGGCCCTAGGTTTGAGCAGTGAAGGAAATAATAAAGACTTTCTTATAAATATTTTTTCCCTGGAGAAGGAAAATGCAATGTTAGGGTATTGCTGTATACTATAGAAGGAACATAATAAAATGTATGTCTGCTATGCAATGTACTTCATGTGGGAGACTGGGGCAGAATCACAGTTTCTGCAGCAGTGCATGATGGAGGAGGGTTATCTGTCTATTGTGTTATTTTCATTGGTCAATAAAGAGACTGCCTTGGCCCCTTGATAGGACAGAAAATTAGGTAGGTGGAGTAAACAGAACAGAATGCTGGGAAGAGGGCTATGAGGCAGACGCCATGGAGCCAGCCACCAGGTCAGACATGTTGAATCTTTCCCGGTAAGCCACACCTCGTGGTGCTACCACGAGATTATTAGAAATGGGTTAATATCAAGATATGAGAGTTAGTCAGTAACTAACTCTCTAGAGATAATGGGCCAGGCAGTGCTTAAATGAATACAATTTGTGTGTTGTTATTTCTGGGACTAAGCTAGCCATGCGGGAGCTGGGCAGGATGAAAAGCAGGCCTGCCCGCAGCCCCTCACTTTATATGGCACCCACGTGGATAACTGAATCCACAGAAAGTCTGAAAAAGCTTGGGAAAGAATAGAGTAAAGCATGTTTTCTTGGTAGCAGCAATTTCTCAGGTCTGCTCTGCTTGCTAGAGGCAAGCAAGCGCTCTCATCTAAGAGAGGCTTCCTGACTCAGCTTCAGCTGCAAAACCTTACAGCTCTTTTAAAAGGTCCTGTTACAAAACACTTAAATGGTGTTGACGAAAAGCTGAAAGCATGCTTTTCGGTTTTCAGCTGTAGCAGGAAAAAAAGCTATGCCGTTTTAAAATGCCGGCTTTCTGGGCTGTCCTGCCAGGGCAAACTCTGACTCTTTCAGACAGGCAGTCCGACTGAGTGTTGTCTGTGAGCAGAATGCTGCAGCTTGCTAGCAAGGACCTTGAAATGCCATAGAGTTGTGACAGTGAACACAGCTCTGGCTGGTATCTCAGCCATGAGGCTGAAAAGTTAAAAAATGAGCTGGATCCAGCCGTCAAAGCCACGGGTTTTTGACTCGTGGGGTCAGAAGTAAAGAGAGATTCAAAGATGAAAAAAACCTCTAAATGGTTTACTATATGTTAAAAATACATGCAGATTAAAGGTTAAAGTTCTTAGGGTAAAAAAGAAAGAAAGAGTAGTTGGGTGTGGTGGTATACACCTTTAATACCAACACAAGGGAGGCAGAGGTAGATTGACCTCTGTGACCTCAAGGTGTGGTAGTACACACCTTTAATCCCAACGCCTGGGAGGCAGAGACAGACAGATCTCTGTGAGTTCAATGTGTGGTAGCACACGCCTTTAATCCCAGCACTGGGGAGGCAGAGACAGACAGATCTCTGTGAGTTCAAGGATAGCCTGGTCTACAGAGTTATTCCAGGACAAAGATATACAGAGAACCTGTGTCAAAAAGTAAAAATAAAAATAAAAGAAATAGAGGTTAAAAATAAAGCTGCATAAAGATGGAAAATACACAGAGAATCTTGATACTGTATGCTATTATGCTTTCTTTAAATTGTTTAAATGCTGAGGAAGGAGCAACAGCTGCAAAAAGATATTTGTTTATAAATGCTGCTGAACTAATCCAAGATAGATATGTTCAAAATACCTTGACTTCTGAATTTGGATCTAAGGATATGATACTTTGGAAAGGAGGTTCTTCTTTTGTTTTCACACAGGATGAGACCCTATGGATTGCTTCTATCCCAATATGGTATGATAGACCACGCCCTCCTGAAAGGTTTCTGTGAACACCCTCAAAAAATTTCTTCACTCAACTGCCGACTGAGATGAACCTGGCAGACAGGTTATACCATGAAAGACCTGATTAACTGCGCCCCTATACAGCAGGAAGAAGTTTGGAGAGAAATAACTACGTCCATATTCCCAAATATTGTTCATAAATGTTCTTTTACATTTAAAGGGGGATATAATATAGATATAAATAATTTGCTTTGTTATGGATTTTAAGCTCAATTTTATTATATATGTATATATTTCTGATTTTGATTGTATAGTTCATTTTAAAAATGTAATGTATAATTAGAAAATATAGGTTGTTAATGGATAATCATCGATAATAGTCAAGCTTGTAGTAATGTTAGTCTGATTTTCTAGAAGTGCACAGATATATTTCAGATAGACATTCATATCTTTCAAAGACTACAGAGAATGGCATTTAGTGTTTTAATTACTTAGGACTTTTCATGACAATGAGACACGTCTGCTCCTGGCAGCACCAATCTACTTCAAGAGGAAGATGGGCATCGAAGAGGCTCCTTATGGAGTTGGTTAGCCATTTGGGCAAGAAACTGCTCTTGCCTGGACTGTTGTATAAACTGGACACAAAGAACCCACAGAGAGAGGACTGCTGAACTTGCCTAAAGGTGAGATGATCTTTCGGGGTTCCTGATTCATGAAAGAGTCTGCGAGACATTCTGCAGGACATAGCAGATAGTGACTGAATTGCCTTTGAAATTTCCTGCTTCATGGAAATGTCTCTGGATATTATGGGCCTGAAGGCTGAAGATGGATGCCCCAACGATACAGAGGAACTTTGGGTGACTGTCCAGGCAGCGAGATTTCTCTGTCATTTCTAGAGTTTTGGAAGTTGCTTACTTCTTGTTTACTTAGGTAATATAACCTTCTGGAGTCTTTGATGGAGTTAAAGAATGGATAGTCATAGTTATAGTTTTCCATTATTATGATAAAGATTTAGTTATAAATATTGTGACTGTAATTCTTGCTTGATAACTGTTTTGTTATGTGTAATTTTACTATGTTAAAATGGAAGCCTTTCTTTTTTGTTTAAACAGAAAAAGGGGAAATGATGGAGGAGGGTTATCTGTCTATTGTGTTATTTTCATTGGTCAATAAAGAGACTGCCTTGGCCCCTTGATAGGACAGAAAATTAGGTAGGTGGAGTAAACAGAACAGAATGCTGGGAAGAGGGCTATGAGGCAGACGCCATGGAGCCAGCCACCAGGTCAGACATGTTGAATCTTTCCCGGTAAGCCACACCTCGTGGTGCTACCACGAGATTATTAGAAATGGGTTAATATCAAGATATGAGAGTTAGTCAGTAACTAACTCTCTAGAGATAATGGGCCAGGCAGTGCTTAAATGAATACAATTTGTGTGTTGTTATTTCTGGGACTAAGCTAGCCATGCGGGAGCTGGGCAGGATGAAAAGCAGGCCTGCCCGCAGCCCCTCACTTTAAGTGCATAAGGGTAGGTACACATTAGAGTGTTGCTGGTTGTCAGCATGTGTAATAGGGAAATTGCTAATTCTGAAAATTAATTTAAAATTAGGTCTTTCCAAAGAACACACTCATTTATTCCTGTTCTTTGCATAATTTAGGCTAATGGTTCTCAACCTTCCGAATATTGCAACCCTTTAATACAGTTCCCCATGTTTGGATGACTCCCAACTATAAAATTATTTCATTGCTACTTTTTAACTATAATTTTGCTACATTCATAGTATAAATATCTGTGTTTTCCAATGGTCTCAGACGACCCCTGTGGAAAAGTCATTTGACTCAAAGGGAGTTGTAAACCCAGGTTAAGAACTACTGATATAGGCTTTTTCCTATAATTGACTGTGTGATGTTTCCAGTTAATAAATTACCTTGACCCAGGCAGTGGCAGTGCATGCATTTAATTCCAGCGCTCAGGAGCCAGAGGCAGATGGGTCTCTATGATTTCATGGCTAACTCATGTCTACAGGACAAGTTCGAGGAAAATAAGAGCTGCATAGAGAATCCCTGTCTCAATAAACAAAAAACTAAAAATTAAATTATGTTGGGAAAGACTATAACAATAATATGTAGAATTAAGGAAGGCTCACTCTGCGATCCTTTAAATTTCAATTAAAGTGTTTTTATTTTTTCCAACATGTTCTCTTTTATTGATTATTTGAGAATTTCTCACCGTGCACTGCAGTGACACTCATTTTCCGTTCCTCCCAAGTCCATTTCTACCATCGTGCTTCCCCTAAAGAAAAGAAACACACAGCAAGTCCTGTTTGTGTTGCCCGTATACTCATTGTTCATTGGCGCATGGTCAAACTCACAGTGACAGGCCCTCTAAAGAAAACTGAGTCCTCCCTTACCGATATTTCATATTTTTCAGAATACTGACATCGCATTAAGCAATGTTCCATAAAAATTGTTTGGGATTTATTTTAGACATAGATAATTATTTATTAGAAATGTCAGATATTCTAAAATACTATACAAAGTTACTCCCCTTAATTTTATTAGCTTTTTATAGGTTATGGAATAACGAACTTTGTTATAGATCATTAGTTAAACAGCTAGTGGAATCGTGTTTTTATGGAACTGGTATGATTTGCAAATAATGGTAACGTTTTATATTTTTCAATGTATTCTCATCAAGCCTTTATTTCATATTCATAAAGGAGGAGAGGAGGAGTCATTCACTTATTAGGTATTTATTGTCTAGAAGACATTGGGCTTTATTCGCAGGAATTAACAAAGCTAATAGACTATTGCTGTTGTGTTTTATTTCTCTCTGCGGGAAGGCTAACGAGAGCCACGCTGTGCTTGTGTCCTCAGGTGCACTGCCTTGACCTCACCTTAGCTCCGCTGGCTGCGAAGATGGAGAGTCTGATGTGGATTCGGGCATTGGCGGAGGACATGAAGAAGAGGAATGTTTTATTAAGTGGACTCCTCCTAAACTACTCAAAGGTATGAAAGGCGTGATGTTGGCAGAATGCAGGTTTTCATACTTCCAACAGCAGGACCGTGATTCTAGTAAAGCAATTGCATGTTAATAGTACAGAAAATGGTGCCAGGATTTGGGGAGAGGGTTCACTAGGAAAAACCTGTGCACGTAAGAGTGAGAAGCTGAGTTGGAATGCCAAGACTCTGTGTAAAAAGTTAGTGCTGCAGGGTGGGTCTGCAACCATGATGCTCTTAATGAGAAACGGAGGTGAAGATAGGAGACTCTCCAGAAATTTTTATGCTAGCTACCCTGGTACACACAGTGATAAACAAAAGACAATGTCTCTTGCAAAATAAAAGGAAAGAGCTGATACTTGAAATTGTCCTCTCTGTCCTCCACATGTGTGCTATACTCCGGAGAGCATACATACACTCCCATACATGCTCATACACACACACACACACACACACACACACACACACACACAGAGAGAGAGAGAGAGAGAGAGAGAGAGAGAGAGAGAGAGAGAGAGAGAGAGAGAGACCTACTCATCTCTTCATGGGCTGTAATGGGTCTAACCTCTCAACTATAGGATGGTAAAAAACCAAGTGTTTTAGAGAAAAGATGTAAGCTCTGTGGTTTGATCAATTACGGATCTCTGTAATAATGTACATCAATTACTAAAGCTAACTTCTTTAATGAGAGGTGAAGCTACATTTACCTGTGGGTAAAAGAAAGGACAACTATTTACAGTACAATTCGAGGTTACATTTGTTTAGCAGATGGCCACACTAGGTTGTCTCTAGGTCCATGACTGTTCTACATACAGATAGTTGGTTAGACTTATGAGAATGGCAATAGTAGGTTGCCTGTAGTGTCTATGACTGGTCCAGCCACAGGTAACCGACTAGATTTACAGTGTCAGACATGAATGTCCTCATATTAATCAGGCCTTAAGTCCCAAAAGACAGTTGTCAAGCTCAGCCACAATAGATAGATCTATGATGTAACCTCTATACCTAAGGCTCAGGACACATTGTGGAAACCCGGAAGAAAGATTCTAAGAGCCAGAGGACCAGAGTACCTACTGCTAGATAGTGTCTTTGATATGGCAGGAAAGCTGTGCTCACAAAATTACAACAATATGGCTGCTTAAGTAATGCTAGCAACAGTTGGCAGAGCAGTGGGGATGGGGGAGTTTCACATGGTCCCACCCTTAGATAAAGAGCAACATTGGCTGCTGAGAGAGGGAAAGCCAGTTTTCTTTAGGGAGGAGTTCCCTGATAGTTTATCCAACCACAAATAATCAGCCCTAAAGATATGTACATATGAGCGACGCTGAATGGCCTCAGTAGGTTGTGTTCTCAGTAGATGGTGTGTGTGTATATGTGTTATATACATATATGCATATGTAGCAACTATTAAAGAAGAAGTCATTATTTGAGGGGGAGTAGGAGGCTTATGAGGAACCGGAGAGGAGAAAGGGAGGAGTAAAATGATGTAAAAACAGTATTCATGTATGAAATTCTCAAAAAAAATTAACAAAACAAAACCAAAAAAGGAAATATATAAGCTGGCAAATACCAAGGTAAGGTAAGGTAGCCCACATAGGATTCCCAGATTTAGTAAGCAAATATATTTCAGATAAGTTTGTAAGTATCTTCCAAATTAGAATTTAAGCTTCAGATATAACTAAAGTCCTCTATTTTATGGCAATCCTGTAGCATTTTGACCCACGCCTAATGGCAAATCTGAAGTTGCTTAACATTGTGTCATTCTCATAACACTGGTACTTTCTCCCTTCCGTGTTATTTATGCACTTACAATGCATGCCTTGGCATCTGTATTCTGGTGGAGCACAGCACTCAACAAGAGAAAGGCATTTGTGATTATGTTGGTAGCAGCAAGTTAATTAATGGAAGGCAAGATGCTTTGCCCCTGACTGTCTCTGTGTGAAGGAGTGGGATTTCCATCAGAATCTCATAGAGAAGTTGGACTTACATTTTCGGCACATGTAGACTAATCTAGACATAGACAGGTCTAGATCATAGGTCATTAGACCTGTGACTATATTATTTTTGACTTCTCATATAGATGATTTAGTAAGTCTGACAGTTGCTTTTGGAGGGGTCTGGAATAAACTTACAGATATTTAAAATTCCATGTGAGTAGAAGAGATAGAGATGGCTCAGTATTGTTCTTGCAGTGGACATGAGTTTGGTTTCTTACGTTCATGTTGGACAAGAGATAACCGCCTGTAGTGCCAACTCCAAGGGATCTAAAGCCCTTTTCTGACCTGTATACACACCTGCATACATGTGTGCATGTACACACACACAGACATATTTACACATGCATGTAAAAATACAAATAAATCTTCAAAATTTATATCTGGGCAAATCAACAAAATAACGTATTTTTATGTTCTCCTACAATTTGTGAAATTATCTTAGGTGTATTTTTAAATATATAAACTTTATTTAACCATAATGATCATCATCAATACAGGCATGGTGGGGATTTCCAGCAATATGTGGAAGTCTGAGGAAGGAGGGTGACAAGGTAAGATTGACATTAGCTTGACTCTGCAAGTGAGTCCTTAAAATGTCAAGACCATCGTATAGGCAGTATAGGGTTCAGTGTTCTTTAACTTGACATAGCTATGAATGTTGTTTCTGAAATATGTAAACATAACCTCGGGTTAGCCGTTAAAATGGTGACACATTTTAGTTTGCATACGATCCTGGAAATCTGAGATGTTGGACCTATAAAGTTTGTGACAGTCAAACCAGTCAAGGCTTGAGGAGATACGTGTTCTTGCTCAAAGGCAGATAACTGGTAGAGAAAACTTGAGTCTCTGCCCATGGTCACGAATATTTCCTACTCAACACACTATAATCTTTGGTGAGAGTATACAAATATGGTAGGGATTGTAAGTAAATCATTTTTCCATGTTTGCAATGGAATATTGGATGAATACTGCTAACACCACACTATGCAGATGTAACATCAAATTTATTTAGGCAAAGCTCAAAATGAAAGAAAGAGCATATCCAATCCCTGGAATCTTCCAGGCTTCATGACTCACATCAGGAGGAAAGTGTCTGATGCATGACAGCCAGCTTTCCAGTCAAGAGTAGAGCTGTCGGTTGAAGCATCCCCTGCCTTGTTAGCTGTAATTCCAGAATCATAAATAATTCCTGATATTAGATGTGTCCCAAATATCATGTGGCTCACACATGCATTATAACTTGCTTATATGTGGTTTGTATTTAACTGGATATCTTGAGATTTTTATCTCCTGAATTTAGCAGCCTTAATACACGATTACCCAGCCTGCTCTGTGTGCTTTCAGGCTCAGGTGCAAGTAGGTTATCTACAAGTCTCTCTACCTGAGAGACTTTTCTGATTGGAGAATGTTTTTGCTTGAAAACAGAAGAACCATCTGGAATTCACTGCTTGCTCTCAGACAGATCTGTGTGACTGAGCTGAGACCCTCAAAGCCAGGTTTCTATAAGCTTCCCATGGTAGGATGGAGAAACAATCTGTAAAGTCTTTCAGGTACTTTTATCAGTAAAAGATTGCTCTTATCCAGGATGGTGGTGGACACCGGTAAACTCATCACGTGGGTGTCTGGAGTAAGAGGATCAAGGGTGTGAGACACTGTCTTAAAAAACAAAATCTTATTCTTTATTATTTTAAAGCCAACTTTGCTATGGCAGTCACTAAGTTGTAAAATATAAAATTTTACTGGAGGAACGTGTTCTGATTATCTGAAAATCTGTGTCTGATATAATTAAAAATTTATTGAGATCTAATATCTGAGGCATGAATGTTTTAAGCCAAGAACAGCTATTTTATTGATGTTTAAAGTATTTTATAGTAATTCTTAATGTAAATATTTTAAAGTATACATTATCTATAATTTTTATATGTGAACTATAATAAAGCTTTTCAGGTCTATAAACACAAGTCCTATAGTTCTCTACTCTGTACACGTATTTTGAAAGGTACTCATGTAGAAGCAAACATATGGTCTCCAGGTTAAAGAGTTTAATGAAAATCTGACTGGTTTGATGAATCAATGTCTGTTTGCGTCTCTGCTAAAGAAACAGCCATATCGTGTTTGACAACATATGTCAAGATTTTAAGTCCCATATGCTGTGTTTGTAAAATTTAGACCTCAGAAGCATTGTGTAAAGCTAGTCACGGTAGAACTCACCCATAGTTCCAGCACTTATGAAAAAAGGCAGGAAGACTGAGTTGAGAACAGCCTGATTTATATAGTGAGGCCCCATCTCAACCCAGCAAATAAACCACCAGACAGAGTTAAATGTTCATGGAAGAGGTGGAGAGCTGGCAGTGTCCTGCTCTGCCAAGTGACAGTCTGCAGCTCTCACTCTCATGCAGGTTAGATCTGAATCCTGAATCTAGTTGGTTTTTTCCCTTTTTGTTTTATGACCATGAGTTTCACTGTACTAATTTTCTTTATTTCACTGATAAATGTTGTCTTAGAGTTAGTATACACTTAGTATAGTTTAGAGAGGGAGTTCTTCTTTTCTCTTAGACATCACAATAATATTAAAATGAAAGTCAAACAGAGGAGAGCTAGATATAGCCAAGAAGGGGGAAAAAGGGATCGTCTCAACTTAGCAGGGTGCCTGCAATTTAGTCTACAGATGTTCGAGATTTTATTTCTTCCTGCTCAGCAGTCTTCTGTTGGTTTTGAGCAGAGGCAGTGGAAACACCTGAGCTTGTGAGCGCTTCCATAGGTGGGAACATTGGAAAGCGCTGTGCGGTTGGGAGAGCTACAGAAAGGAACTGAAGGTTGGAGTTTAGGGTCCATCACCCTGACTCTGCTTCTGAATTCCCACTTTTAACGTTGCAACATATAAGGAAGTTATACAGAAGAAACGAAGCTAATAAAGCCGATCTGTACATTTTTGTTTAGTAATTACTTGTGAGCGACATATGAAAGGCTTAAAAATTCCCCAAACAAAATATGAAACTAAAAATTGAAGCA